CAGAGACAGAAAGAAGAGGTTCGGCGCGAGCACACGTGAGAGGTCGCTAGGGTCGTACTCAAACAAAATCATTTTTTTTTTTTTTTTTTTTTTTTTTTTTTTTTTTTTTTTTTTTTTTTTTTTTTTTTTTTTTTTTTTTTTTTTTTTTTTTTTTTTTTTTTTTTTTTTTTTTTTTTTTTTTTTTTTTTTTTTTTTTTTTTTTTTTTTTTTTTTTTTTTTTTTTTTTTTTTTTTTTTTTTTTTTTTTTTTTTTTTTTTTTTTTTTTTTTTTTTTTTTTTTTTTTTTTTTTTTTTTTTTTTTTTTTTTTTTTTTTTTTTTTTTTTTTTTTTTTTTTTTTTTTTTTTTTTTTTTTTTTTTTTTTTTTTTTTTTTTTTTTTTTTTTTTTTTTTTTTTTTTTTTTTTTTTTTTTTTTTTTTTTTTTCAAGTGCGGCAGGTACTCGACGCATACAGAGACAGAAAGAAGAGGTTCGGCGCGAGCACACGTGCAGAGGTCGCTAGGGTCGTACTAAACAAAATCACTGTCCTAGTGCTGGTTTTGTTTTTTATGCAATCTTCGATTTATGATACATACGTAAGCCCGGTCAAAGCTGACGTTTTTAACCATTTATTACGGCCGCAGCGTTAATACATGAGATATTTTTAAAATATTTTGCAAAGGTGCTGTTGGGGTCTAAATAATCATTTTAAGGCAATAAAAAAATTTTGATCGTTTTAAAGGAAGAAAATAAGTTGCATCAAAACACAATATACATGGTCTTATTTAACTAAAAATCTTGACTCAATCGTGGTTGTCATCTTTACCTTCTTGGTGTTGTTGCAGCCGTCCTGCTCGTCGCCCAGCCGTCGTCGCCCTCGGCCGCCCCTCCAGGACCGCCGCCTCGCGGCCACCGTCCCTCCGCCGCCTGGGCACCGCCACTGGTGGCGGCGCTGGCAGCGGCGGCGGCAGCGGGTTTCGCCCTGGTCCTGGCCTCGTGCCTGCTGCTCGGGCCGCCCTGTCCCCGCGGTGTGGCGGACGGGGAGGCGGAGGCCGCCGCCACTGTCTCCAGCGACGCCACTGTCGTCGTTCCCGTAAGTCGCAACATGATTTTTGTGTGTTTTTTGCCTGTGTTTTTGTGTGTTTTTTTGTTGATATTTGATGTTTTTTTATGGTTCGGAGAAATCTTCCAGTTTGTTGGTGAAGCTACTGGCAAAGTTGATTTTATTCTAACGTGTATAATTATTGGAACATTGGAACACGAATCCTAGAATCCTACAACAAATCCTGGAACACGTATCCTAACAAAATATGTTTTTGTTATACTAATAAGACTAATAGCTCTCTACCGTCAGTAGTACTACTGTTTCTAGGGTCTTTTCTGATTGAGATTAGACGATTTTATTCAAGTACTAAAAGAGCACCCATGTCTTCAAATGAAGATGTTATAGTGAAGATGAGTTATGAAAGTTCAAATGTTATTTAGGGTTTATTATATTATTTGCACTGCAGTTATTTTTAGTTGAAAACATTCTCAGAACTCAGAAGGTTCGAATAACAATTTTATAACATTTTTATTTTTGGTAAATACAATGAATGCATTTAAATGAAAAAAATACATAAAGACGGTATGGCCAGACGTTAAGGCGAATTTAAATAATGAAATGTATTTTTTAAAACCTTTTAGCACGGATTTGTCAGACTGTATGATAATGAAACTTTTGTTCGGTAATTTGTAGATTAATCATGTGATACATGTGATCGAATTATAGAGGTAGTGTATTATAAAGTTGTATATTATAAAAAATAATATCACATTCTTTGATATCCTGGCATGTTCGATACAAACAATACAAAAGCAACAAAAAATAAACAAAATTTCATGCGAATTTTCCCTGCATGTATGCTGTCCTCGTCCCAAAATAATATCTTCCTTTGGGTCTGGGCTCAACTGTCGAATTTTCAATAAGCTTTGGGACGAAGGGTGTCCAAAATAAAAGGTCGTCGCGACCGATTTTGGCAAATAAGCCCATATGAATGCGTCTGGCGAACGAAACGCATTGACGAGCGTAGAAAATAGAAATGTCTGAGAGTCATTTAAATTATTGACCGTTAAGCTTCATTCAGAAACTAGAAGTTTGTTTTTTTTAATTTCAATGTAAGTATTCAGAACATCAAAGTTAGTGGTAGTAATTGTCAATTAGTAGAAAAAGTTAACAAAGTTTTAACTTTAGCCACTATATGTACTTCAAAATTTGCGAGTAATATCATTTTGGCCTTTGATTTTTATCCGTCAATAAAAATTGTGGTTAGAAATGAAAAATTTATTGTTTTATGGAAAATTATTATTAGGTTTTCTTTATGGATACAACTCACTCCTAAGCTAGTTAATTGTTGACGATTTCTGGTCATATATTCTATCTTAGTTGCCGTTTCCCCCATCATATATTACAACTCCACAACTCGTTGATTTGTTTTCGTATTGTACGTCATTCATTTTAAACGACAGAATCCCCAGAACATCGGGTAAATTTTTATAAATACATATAGGAAGAGTTATATTCATGTGTACAGGGTGGCTCGAATTCGACGCTCATCATTGGGATTTCGGAAACCGTCAGAGATACAGGATCGGTTAAATGGAGGAAAAGTTACGCAATTTGATGCTCAATAAAATTCCGTATTGCATTTTGAAAAATTCCGAATACTTCCGAATATATTTGAAAAAAAAACGGAATTTTCAATTTTGTTTTCTATTGTTTCCTGGCTTTATTTGTTAAGATAACTTAAAATGAAAAACACATTTTCATGGCCATTTTTTCTGCTCTATAACTCTGTGAGGTTAAATATTGACTGGCGACCATCATCAACTTAATTTTTTTAAATACGGACCTGATTTTTTTTCCAATTTAATTAAATCCTTTCATCACTCTTAAAACACTATATATAGTCACTTTGATATTTGCCGACGTTTCGTACAGAAAATTCCATCACCAGCATATTTTATGCAAAAAAAATTAAAAATAAAAATGCAATACGGCATTTTATTGAGCATGAAATTGCGCAACTTTGCCTCCATTTAACCGATCCTGTATCTCTTACGGTTTTCGATATTCCAATGATGAGCGTTGAATTCGAGCCACCCTGTACAAACATAGAATAATCCAAAACATATCTACTGATAGCAGACATACAAATATCAGACATATGGGTCAGACCACTGTTGCTATTTAAGATGTTGCATTAAATATCCACCAAATCCCAAAATTAAAAAATTTGTATGTATTAAGAAAAAAACAAGCGCCGAAATGAGTCATTTCTAGTCGGAAAGCAAACGACAGTGACGAAAGCCGCGCTTCCCTGTTCACCTTGATTACGTAACCGCGTCGCGTCATCGCGACGCTCGTCTAGACGCGATCGGCGTCCGCCAAATATCCGCACTTTCTACCGCTGTTGCGTCGCTGGTTCGTGCGATAGCCGCATTTTTTCCATTCGTTTTGAACTGGATCGGGTCGGCGGGTACCTATTGTCATTAATCGGGTCGAGGTCTATCAAAAAATGCGTTTTTACCGCTAGCTATTGACTACAATACATAACTGGTATGATGTGTCGAGATGTAACAGTCAATAATTTAAATTACTGGAGTCCCTCATTTTACGCGGCATATTTATACGAGTTTGTATTTTTGACACCACGCCTACCAGCGACATATTTTAAGCGACTTTAGTAATTCCATATTAGATAGGAATTCGAGAACAAATCAACTAGTTGTCGAATAGTAGCATACGATAAAAATTGGCTACAAATGGCTAGAAATTGCCCCAAACCTAGTTGCTTTGTGTCAGAGAGATCAAATTAAAGAAATTTCTGATATAGGAAAGTCGTTGTTTGGAGTGGAATTTAATGATTTCTACTGGGAACTCAGTGGAGAAAAACTCAAAGAATTGGAGCTGAAGAAAGAAATGAAGATGTAACCCTAAATGATCGGAGTTAACACCGAAAATTCTACACAAATGCCTTACCATATGATCTTTGAAAATTAAACGAGAGGTCTTTGTGGCATTGGTATTATACATTAATTTGTGTGTGTGTGTGTTTTTTAACTATAAATATAAATAAATAAAAAATAAAATAAAAACCAACACCAAGATTGACAAAACTCTAACTTCGCTTCACATCACTGTTGTTTAGCGGTATAAAGCAAAAATAGTTTGACATACATTGTACAAAAATGAAATCAACCAAGCAGTATTAAATTTTATTAAAAAATCACACAGAAAAAACGTGTAACGTATAAAAACCAGACACCTGTTAGAGTACCTACCAAAGGGTCGCTCCATTTAACGATTTCTTCACCCATCGTCCATCAATAAATGGCCGAGACGATATACGATTCCCTGTATTCTTTTTACGTCTGGCAGACGTCTGGTCCTCTTCGCCTTCGTACTGCTCCCGTACTAACGACATTGGTACGACCTTGGCCGCCGTACCGACGACGCGCTGCACCACAAAATAAAACCAGAATTTTATTTTGTCTGGCGGTGCCGGTGCAGAGGCCGTCCGAAATGCATTTACGGTCCCAGACTGCAGTATGCAAATATTGGACGGGTCTGGGGGCCTGGAGCAGACAAGTGCGGCAGGTACTCGACGCATACAGAGACAGAAAGAAGAGGTTCGGCGCGAGCACACGTGCAGAGGTCGCTAGGGTCGTACTAAACAAAATCACTGTCCTAGTGCTGGTTTTGTTTTTTATGCAATCTTCGATTTATGATACATACGTAAGCGCGGTCAAAGCTGACGTTTTTAACCATTTATTACGGCCGCGGCGTTAATACATGAGATATTTTTAAAATATTTTGTAAAGGTGCTTTTGGGGTCTAAATAATCATTTTAAGGCAATAAAAAAATGTTGATCGTTTTAAAGGAAGAAAATAAGTTGCATCAAAGCACAATATACATGGTCTTATTTAACTAAAATCGTGACTCAATCGTGGTTGTCATCTTTACCTTCTTGGTGTTGTTGCAGCCGTCCTGCTCGTCGCCAAGCCGTCGTCGCCCTCGGCCGCCCCTCCAGGACCGCCGCCTCGCGGCCACCGTCCCTCCGCCGCCTGGGCACCGCCACTGGTGGCGGCGCTGGCAGCGGCGGCGGCAGCGGGTTTCGCCCTGGTCCTGGCCTCGTGCCTGCTGCTCAGGCCGCCCTGTCCCCGCGGTGTGGCGGACGGGGAGGCGGAGGCCGCCGCCACTGTCTCCAGCGACGCCACTGTCGTCGTTCCCGTAAGTCGCAACATGATTTTTGTGTGTTTTTTGCCTGTGTTTTTGTGTGTTTTTTTGTTGATATTTGATGTTTTTTTGTGGTTCGGAAAAATCTTCCAGTTTGTTGGTGAAGCTACTGGCGAAGTTGATTTAATTCTAACGTGTATAATTATTGGAACATTGGAACACGAATCCTACAACAAATCCTGGAACACGTATCCTAACAAAATATATTTTTGTTATACCAATAAGACTAATAGCTCTCTACCGTCAGTAGTACTACTGTTTCCAGAGTCTTTTCTGATTGAGATTAGACGATTTTATTCAAGTACTAAAAGAGCACCCATGTCTTCAAATGAAGATGTTATAGTGAAGATGACTTATGAAAGTTCGACTGTTATTTAGGGTTTATTATATTATTTGTACTGCAGTTATTTTTAGTTGAAAACATTCTCAGAAGGTTCGAATAACAATTTTATAACATTTTTATTTTTGGTAAATACAATGAATGCATTTAAATGAAAAAAATACATAAAGACGGTATGGCCAGACGTTAAGGCGAATTTAAATAATGAAATGTATTTTTTAAAACCTTTTAGCACGGATTTGTCAGACTGTATGATAATTTCGGCAAATATGCAGTGAATAAACCGCATTTTCGAAAAGTGTGAATTTTTGCAAATTATATTTCCAAAAATCGAAAAAGAAAAAGACATCTTGTTTTTATTTTTTCAAGCTTTTATTTGCACAATACATGAGCGTATTTTTATTTTAAATTGGTGAAAAAACAGAAAATTGACATGGAACTCTCCAAAAATGTCTTCTTAATCTTTTTTTCAATGCCAATATAGAGATATTTTTTTTATAGGAGATACGTGTATTTTTCAAGCTCGTGTCAAGAATTAATGCTTCAGTATTTATTATTTTATTTGGATTATCCTCAAATTTTAATTAGCACCAATAAAAATATTTCACCAATAATTTTTGGGTATGTTCAAATTTAGCGTGATCAAGCTGATTGGAGACGATGTAGACAGTGATTCATTAAAACGAAAAAGAAATAAAAAGCCCAAAAGATTACAAAACTTGACGAGACAATAATCGAACGCAATTGTTAGTCATATAATATCGATTATTTCATATACGTTATCGAGCACTGTGTCTATCTAAAACAAATTAGACCAAATATTCAGTCTGCAAATACTTACAATTAATCTTTATACAAATATAATAGACAGACGATATGATACACATACCTCTGTCTATAAGTTCGAAATTCGTAGGAAAAAAGCAAAGTTTGGGCAGGTGTCTGGACTAGAAATGAGAAAAAAAATCGAAATATCTAAATATCGATATAGATTCATTAGCTTTTTGTTCGTTTAAGGCCAAAAGAACCTTGAAAGAGGATGAATTAATGATTTAGGTTTTTTAACTACACTGCCAATCCGTTTTAGAATTATAAAAACATACCGAAATTTGCTATCCTGATTTTTTCTTAGATCGATATCGATGTTTTTTCTTACAATGCTCATTTCTAGTCTAAGTATTTTTGTGGATCAAATAAAAAATTCGTACTGACGTCATCGACGTCTATATTTGCACTTTTTGCAATAAAAAGTAAACGTCAATATATAAAAAAACGTCTAAAAATATCATCACATTAGTAATTCTGGTGATCATTATATGCACATATAAAACAATAGCTTTTAATTTTAATTGCACATTTTTTTTAATTTTATGAATAATTAATGAGAATATACAATATGAGACAGAATAAACAATAAAAAAAATGTTTATGGTAGTGAAATACCGTAACTCCGTCACTGGTTTTAACAATTCCAGAGTCTCAGGTACTGTCGAATATAATCAATATTTTTTTTAAAGTTTCAAAACCCTGTATTATTAAAAAAAAACGTTCTTGATTCTATGCTAAAATTATTTTATTGTTAAAATCAGTTTTAAATGCACAAATAAGTCGCAAATATACATCGAAGAAACTAGTGATTTCGCCACCAATCACTCTATATTATATGAGGCGTCAAGTTGCAAAACCCGCCTTATCAATTTTTAAAAAAAAATGCCTAATAACATAAATATATTAATAGTGGGCCAAGAAATCTACATAAACATAGTCCCAAACTGCAGTAAAAGTCGCCTATTCCTATAAAAAATCACTACAAATTACCAAATTGCCATTTCCAATTATGGTGTAGCCTCCCTCACATTCCTTTTTTTTTTCTTCACAATAAGGGGCCGTCCTCTGCCGGAAACACTGCGACCTGTGAGGTCTATTGTGTGTGTCTCCTTTCCATATCTGCACCCATTCTCCTATCCCTGTGCCCTGCACTAACTTATGGTCCTTGATAGGATGGGAGCATAGTTCCTCCGGTTCTGGCCTAGCTTTCCCAAATAAAATGTGTCGCTTGCGATCCAGAGCCTCGCAGTGACATATTATGTGCTCCGCTGTTTCAGGTTCTTTATCGCAGAGTCTGCAGCAAAGACTTCCTTGATACAGGTTGAGCTTGTTCAGGTAACACTTGACAGCCATATGTCCTGTCAAGAGGCCTGTTGTAATCCGCAATTTATTCCTGCTAAGCATTGTTCTTTTGCGGTTTTAGAGCTAGGTCCTTGGATAAAAGCCTTGCTGTGCCTGTGCCCCTGTCTGTTTCGCCAGTGGACATTCTGTTTTTCCTTGATCCAGAGTTTTAGTGCACTACGGGCCATACATTTTGGTATTCCCAGTACTGGCTCTGGACCAAGCTAAGATGCCGATGATCCTAGCCTAGCTAGCTCATCGGCTTTTTCGTTGCCTTGAATGCCGCTGTGGCCCGGCACCCAGAATAATTTAATTCTGTTCCTTCGAGCCAGAGCTTCCAGTTCACCTAGGCATTCCCAGACGAGTCTCGACGATACCTTTGGGCTCATAAGCGCCCCAAGTGCCGCCTGACTGTCTGAGCATATATTGATGAGCTTATCTGAATAAGCTCTTCTATTGTTTTCTCTCGCACATTGTAGAATGGCGAAGATTTCTGTCTGGAATACGGCTGAGTTTTTACCCAAGGAAAAGGATAAACTTACCCTTGGTGTTTCCCCAAATACTCCAGCTCCTGTCTCTTCAGCGATCTTTGACCCATCTATATAGCAGGTTAGTCCATCCTGAAGGAATGTTATATCTGTCCACATTCCTTGATCCATTTTGTTCACCTCGAATGGTTTGTGGTAGTGATAAAGAGGGGTCATTTGGTCCGATCTCATTTGGAGTAGAGGTCCTCCGATAGGATTTCCCATCTTTGAGTGTCCTGTTTCTGTCCTATTTCCCAGAGACAAGACACTTTGTTGTCGATAGAGTCCCATTCTTGCCTCCGCCTGGATCACTATGTGAAGAGGCGGAAGTTCCAGAAGCGCCTCCATTGATGCAGTGGGCGTTGATTTCATTGCCCCTGTTATGCTCAGACAAGCAAGTCTTTGCACCTTGCTGAGGCTGAGCATTGTTGTTTGTTGCATTACCTTAGGCCACCATACATTAGGTCACCACTCCAGTGTACAGCCATCTGTGGTCTGAGGCCCCAGATTTTTCCATGAAGGCGTCTGACTACCGCTAGTGTAGTCACCGCCCTCCTTGTGACATTTTCTAAATGTCGGTTCCAGGTCAGTTTGGTATCAACCGTGATTCCTAGATACTTGACCTCCCCCGAGAGAGGAATCTCATCACCGCAGAGTCTTAGAGGGCCTAGTCCCTTAAGTATTCTGCGCTTGGTGAAGGGGATTATTACGGTCTTTGTAGGACTAATCGTCTCTCCCGTGTCACCCATGATTCCACAATCTTCAAGGCCCTTTGCATTCGCGTACACTCACATACCTACTCCCTTTGTAGTTGGGCCCCATTGTTGTCTATTTTTGGCTATATGGGCCCAAGTTATCCCTGCTAATTTGCTAATATCATGGTCCCATCTCAGATTCGGTCTAGGTCTTCCTCTAGGTCTCTTAATTCCTCGTGGGAACCATGCTGTAATTTTTGTAGTCCATCTGTTGTCTATTCTTCTTGCCAGGTGTCCTGCCCATTGCTATTTGAGGGATTTGACTCTGTGGATGACTTCTATTACCTGGATCTTTTGTCGTATCCACTCTATCCTTTTACGGTCTCTCTTGATTATTCCCAGCACATTTCGTTTCATTGAGCGTTATGCGACCTGCAGTTTCCTTGTGATGTCCATTTTAAGTGTCCAGGTTTCGCAGGCATAGGTCATGACTGGTAGTACACATTGGTCGAATGTTTTCTTCTTTAGAGAGAGTGGCATTCTAGATTTAAATATGATTGAGTTTCTTCCATAAGTACTCCACGTTAACTTAATTCTTCTGTTGATTTCTGGTAGTAAATTATCCCACTATTATATCGATATTCTCTCTTAAAATGCTCCCTCCCTATCTCTGATTATGGCATCCTGTACATTTTTCCTAGACATGATTCCCGGAAATTTGATTTTAAACAAATATGTTTGTATTGAGTCTATCAACTTATTTAGTTGAAAATATTTTCGCTGCTCTACCAGGAAATCGACCATGAATGCAATAATAATCGATCTTGATCAAAGCGAAAAAAATACAAGAAATGTTTGTGTGCGTACACGGCAAATCGTTTAGTGTGGTCCGTTCGATAATGCAATTTTGATGTCAAGTCTTCATTAGAAGTGCGAACAAACAAAAACACATTCGCACAAACTATACAAACCCTGTAGCCCGATCACTTTACATTTTTCCAACCAAAAAAATACAGAGCCGGATTATTTGATTGTTTTAGGGGTCTTTTCTTGTCTGAATGTGTTTAATAAAAATTTAATATAGGTTTTGATTAGTTTGATGTGTTGTTTTATAGTGATCTATATTTGGGCACCTATTCCATATTTATAGCAATTTTATAGCAATTCCATATTTATATCAAGAAAGCGGCTATGAACAGTTTGGGTTTAAGAGTGGATTGGGAACACGAGGTGCCTTATTCTGTTTACAAGTGATGGCGCAGA